GCTGAGGGCATATGGTACGTTTGAAATGCAAAAGAGGGTAAACAAGGAACAAGAAAACAGTGCGATCGTAATAAGGGTGAGAGATTTCATAGACAATGAATGACACTCGTATTATGCGATGATTATTTGTACTATCTTTTTGGGGGAGGGGAGGGGGAGTAATACTGACATAAGCCATCAGACAAAGACCGGGGTTGGGGTGAAAGTAAATTGGAGTTTGCTTCTTTCTCTACATGGAATAGGATGATAATTCATGTAACTAGTTTTAGCAATTGTATAGACGGAACGGTTGTTGTAAGGTCTGACATTTCCATGCCCAAACGATAGTATGAGTACATGCAAAAGATTAGTCTTCAGCAATGAACATTGTGGGATATTTAATGTAGGGAGTGCGCATGAGTGATTGTAAAATTGAGTTATAATAAACAAGATAAAGTAATAAAATGAAAACAAACAGAAATGTTCAAGCTGATATTGTCTGTCAAGATGCTTATTATTTCAGTTCTGTTCTTTACATAAACAAAATTAAATGCGAGGCATAGGAGACAATATGCTTTTATACCATCATAATAATATTAAAGTACATAATACATTGGAGCGGATAGTTGTTTGGGAAATGGGGGGGACTTCGACACATGACCATTTCACACAAGCTCAAGACATCGATGGCAGTTAAACTTTGCATTTCCTGCTCAAAATGCAAGGGGAAAAAAAGAAAGAACAAAACAACGAAACCAAAATAATATAAAGTTCACTTAGGCCATGGCTATGGATTATACACCTACATAGAAAACATCTATTTCAGGTCGATTTGAGGTAAAGAGAGGTATGTACAGGTCAGAATATTGACGAGAGAGTCTTGGGGCATTGCAAGCAAGTCCGTGGCCCACGTCTCTCCGGCTTCTCCCTCCCCTCGACTGGCAGGCACGGGAGAAGAACGGCTCTGTCACGGCCCCAAATGTCGCCCGTTTAGGCTATGAGTTTCGCAGGCACTGGAGAAAAGGTCAAGGCTATCTAATAACGCCTGTGACCATAGATGTTTTTAGCTTTGTTTTTGGTTGAAGATGTTATTTTGATAGCACCTGTGTAGATGATAAACATCCCAGTAGATCCGGTGACCCTAAGAGTAGAAATTGTTCGTTCATCACCAACTTGCTTCAGATGTTTGTGCCCAACGGCTGTCGCAGGAAAAGTTCGAAATAAACTCGCCTTATTATGCCTTCTTGCTCCTTTTGTTTCTCTCATCTAAAATTAATAATATCTTGGATCCACAGTGGGTGGTCATTTATCAGTGACAAAATAAAGCAGATTTCTTTGGTGAAAGAAAAGCTGTTGATTTTCTTCTAAGCACGAAATGACTATAACGATGGAAGTTGTCACCGGCGTAAGTCTTAGCGAGGATTCGGGAACATGTCAGGTTTGAGCAGCCATTGCAAAAGAAATTTTCTAGAACCAAGGATGCTCATCAACCGTCATATGTGACGTCGCAAGTGACGTAGAAGACGAGAACGGATGACGTGTCCCATCCATTATCTATCCTTCCGCCGAGTGGTCGCCTGTGTGAGCAGGATTGTACATGAAGTACTCACTGCTGTATCAACATATATCACAGATGAAGATTAGGTGGGCGTCTTTTCAAGTGCGTCACTGATACAGTGGGACCAAACGAAATGCAAATCCTTCAATAAAAAGAAGCACATGAGAGTACAAAGGGAACACGAGGTGTCCGTGGATGCCGTGGTCTAGTAACTTCTGTCCCAGAGCTGCCCCCTTTCCTCTTGCGTTTTATGTCTTGTTATTAAATACTTTGCGTCGAGTAAGCGCCAAAATAGGACGAAGGGAGAAGAAACAGCCATTCTTCAGCCAGGACTAAAGTGTGTAGTACTTTCTTAGATGAGAGTTATACGAAGTTTTTGACTTCTGGTATCGTCTTCACACCGTCACCGATCGTTCCTGGGGTTCGTGAATCCCTCGAACTCATTTTGCAGCCGGTGCTGCCAATGTCTGATCTTGGGCAATTTTGTAAATTCGTAGCAGGGCTGTCGTCGCTTTCTTTTCCGCATGCTGTAGCCCTTGAGACGCCGCCCCCGTTTGTTGAAGCCCACGTACCATCTGGGGTTGGCGGCCGACTGCAGTTTGATGCGGCCGTTGTGCGGCTCTTCCCTGAACACACATTGCAAGCTTCTGCCGTTTGTCTGTCGAAACAAGAAAAAAAATGTAATTAACACATTTCACCCAGAAAAAATTGTTTGTTTTTTTAATTCGAGTGTTTCCAGATTTATTTCATTACTACGCTTTGTTGGTAGCGTCCTTGTTTAGATTTCTTGCTGCTAATTCTGGAGAGATGTGCGCATTCAAGCCGTAAATAAAAAGCCTACATGGGTCACTGTCTGCTCTGTGCAAGCAATCACAGATTCCCCTCCCCGCCCAATCTTTACTTGGAGAATCAAATCATGATCTTTTACTTGTAACGTTCTGCAGTTGGGAAATTGGCGTAAATCATTTGCCGTCTGGGTATTCTCATCAATGCCCACCAAGCAGGAGAGCCAAGTACGACGTGAGACTTAGCACGAGATACGTTTTCCCAATTAGCAAAGCCTTATTTTACTTAAATCAAGCTATGGTAAACAGACAAAAATTGTGACAAAATTATTTATATCAGCAACTTGATGGCAGAAGCCACATACACAACCAAAACATTCGCTGACTTCAACTATTTTACAATCCACACTATACTCTATAAAACAATGGTACATGGCGGGGTGTTTGCCCTTCTGTGAACTACGGCTGACGTGGTGGGTTGTCAAAATATAAGTGCATGACGCCCTTGATTTCAATATGGCGGAAAAAAAAGTAGACAACACCCGTAAGTCATGCGTTTCCTCTGCGGTTGGGGCGGTATTTCCGCTTGGCGTTCTGCCACCCATGAGAACGATTCTTGCAAACGCACCCTACCACAATTATCAGCGTCGTTAGCAATGAAAGGGCCCGACTTCCGTTTGAAATCAACATAATGAACATATGAAAAAAGTTTTCAGTTTTTTCTTCCCCAGAATATTCGTGTCTCTTTTTCTTTTTGTTTATGAGCAAATTATGTATTTTAAAAAATCACGGACGTTTGTCTTCGTGAGAAGACGTGAAGTGTTGGCAAAGTCTGTGCGCTGGGAGAGCTGGGGGACAATAGGATCTGTGGAAGGGGTGACATTGTGAAGCTAACGGGGCGAAAACCTGGGAAAGACCAGCACTTCACGGGCAATGAGTTAGCCGTCAATGAGGAGCCTACGTACGCCACATGATGGCGATTTGATAGCTCTGGCATTGTCTACCTATGAGTTCGACCTTACGCCGACGATTGTACGATAGGCACTGGCGACAACAGACTCTAGAGAATCTCTTTCAGAATTCGGGTAAAGGCGGAGTTAAAAAACCTCCCGTCAACAGATTGGGCATATTCCATTCATATTTCATTGATATTTTCTCAAAAGCTTGCTTTATCTTTCGCCTAACGCTTTCTTTCCTGCCTTGCCTGTCTGTTATTTCGAGGCTAAATACAACCTCTTTTTTTGTCATTCACCAGCCCTCTTCCCTTCTCTGACGACATTGCAAAATCCTCACACGAAAGATTACATTTTTCTCCCGGTCCTTTCATCTTTTCACTCTGTGACTCTCCCGATCTCTCCCGCACCCTGTTAATGCCTCTTTATCATATTTTTGAGGTATGCATGCCGATTCGGATGAGCTCCTCAAAGAAGTTCCCGCCCTCGCTTCGATGATTCCCAGTCGCCTTACGCTGAGTGTCAGGGCTCGGTCAAATAACCGGGAAGGGGAGGGAAGTGGTGGTAAGAGGGTGTCTGACTCCTAATTCTGAGTGTTTTCTTGCAACGGATCCAAAATAAGTGCACCCAGCCCAAACCTCATATAATAAGGTTTAGAAAGTTTACAAAATCACTGCGTTCTATCTGTCCTACTCGCAGGCACAGGTTCAAAGAAAACATAGAACCCGTGGACCTTCAGAAAGTTAATAAAAACACAATTACATGTCACATTGTGAATAATGCAGAATAAAAAAAGTTCAACAATGGTAATGAAAACTAATCTCCTCAGAGTTAAGGTGTTCACTTTGTTTGAATATTTCATTCGCTCATTGACTGACGTGTGAACACATTCAGTGTAATTATGGTTCCCATTTTGCTGAGTAAGAGAAACAGCGCAACTTTTTGTTGGACGAAACATGTAGAACCCAGCAAGCATATAATACGAGGCTCCGGCTCGAGACAGCGGAAACGTGACGAGAAAAGAAAGGGGAGGGGGTGGAATAAAAAAAAGTATGCTAGGGAAGAAAGGAAAGTCGAGGACGACTGGCTACACGTCTGAGGGATTGTAAACAGGTTTAGGTTCGTTTGCTATCAAGTGTTTAAATGATAGACCTTGCTCTAGGAACGTGTACTAATGCAATGATAGCTGACCCTCAGTCGGCGGCTTGAATGTAATTCCCCTGTAGCGATTAGTGGGGTGGGCAAACAGTGACAGCTCGCGCCAAGCACTGTGTAGGTTAATGTGCCAGAGATGATCTTCACTGACTACCGAGTCTCAGAAAGGTATAATTATGGCACTGGTACCGGTAAAACTAACGGATAGTAGCGGTGACGCGTGAATGAAGGTACTTTGTTTCCTTCACAAACCTGAAGAAAGGGCATGAACTAATTGGTGTTTTTGTATTGTGTCACAAAATATCAAAGTATACAGTATCACATTTTATAATTCACTGTTTAAAAAAATATTATTTGATGTGAGAACAGACAATGGGAAAAATCCAGATTAAATATTTATATTTATATATTTATTAGTCATTGATTTTGCATATTCCCACAACCTCTCTCCTTTCCTTTTACACACCCCGTAAACACAGACAAAGCCTGCCGGAAACTGCAACATCCCTTTTCTGTCTTTTCCACACCCACCCCAACTTCTCGTTGCCTTTTGTTGTCGTTTTACCCTTTCGTTCTATTTATTCCATTTTGTTTTGAGGGTTTGTTGTGTCATAACTCCGTGTCATATCCGCTTTCTTCCAAAGAGGTTTTGAAAGAAAATAATTTTTAATTATTTTTTCCTGTCACGACAAGTCGCTTTAACCTTCATGGGACATGTACCCAGTGGGCATAATGCAGCATACAAAATACTCGTTACCCCCTTCGTTTCCTGTCCTACACACCAAAAATACACACTTTAACCCCTCGTACCCATAACGTAAGAGGCAACGAATCAAAGTCCTTTATTAATCAATGCAGCCACTAGGGCACGCTGACCCTTCCCCGCACTGGTGCTGAAATAGCAAAACGACCCTAATGGCTGTTTCTTCTCATAGACCACAAGATCAAATTCAAGCCAAGCCGTCTTGCGTACACTTCTGCCATGTAACAGTATAAGCAGACCACATATTTCCTTAATCAGGTCCGATCAAAGACCTGAGTGGTAATCAACAGAGCCGAAAAAGTGCTCTTTTCTATTATGGCTCGACAACTTGGCCCAATCTGATTTGTTGTGGCGTGTGCACTCGAGGTCGCAAAGTTACCCACCTCGGATTATCCGCTAAGGATTTTAACCAGATGATATCAGCTCTTGGGTTTTAAGTTCATGTGGGGCAGGTTGCTTTGTTATAACTACATTGCAACACCATACATGTAAATAACGTTTGCTGATCCATTTGTCGTTTGAAAAGGGTCCAAAAGAAATTATACTCTAGATGAATATAGACGTTCAGGAAGAATTGTTTGTGCCAGTGAGGATATGTCAACACTGTTCGAAGGTTTCCGTAAGAGTAGCAGTCTCGTGTTTTTAGCGTGGAATGGTCTACACAGTATGTATGTTTAAACGACTAGATCTATTTCTTGATTAGGCATACAAACGTCAAAAGGGGTATTAACTCAAATTGCATGGATAAAATGAAGCTTTTAATAAAATATCAATCGCATCTACCTTTCTATGGCAGGTGATATTGCTTAGTAAGTATTCCTCACATCAACGTAAAGTTGTTTTCTGAGTTCTTTCCGCTTATTCGAAAATAGAGTGTCGACCTGTCATTTATGGTTAGCATCATAAACAGATGAATAGCAAACGGGCAGTGGACATTCTAAAAGGTACAGAATCTGAAAATGAAACTAAACTTGTTTGGAAATTTAGTTCATAGAATATTTTAAACTCTTTTCATGAATCAACAAACGCATGCACTGATGTATTTGTGATAGCTATTGAAGGTTTGCTCAATGCGTTAGTGATGAAAATGAAGGAAAGGGAGCCAGGGAGACAAAGAACCAATTATAATTTTCTGTGTGTGTGTGTGTGTGTGTGTGTGTGTGTGTGTGTGTGTGTGTGTGTGTGTGTGTGTGTGTGTGTGTGTGTGTGTGTGTGTGTGTGTGTGTGTGTGTGTGTGTGTGTGTGGAAAGCCAGCTTTTTAACAATATGGTTCTCCTGTTTTGGCACTTGGCCGAGATAAAAAGAGACATTTCTGTTTTCTCGGAAAACACGAAGACACCAACAAGCACGCTTGTAGGGAAAGACTAAAAACTCGAGAGTGCCCTATAAATGACCCTCGTTTTTTTGCATCTAAAAACTTCAAATCGGTAACCCCTAAGGCTGTCCATGAATGGATTTCTTCCAGTCAGCTTCGCTCACCTATGAAAAGAACGGCAACGCACTGTTTGATCCCTACAAGAGGGCTTAATTGAGATATTCCCCCTTGAGTTCAACGTTGTGATTGTACGAGGAAGCTGCTAGCACTCTACATCCTCTACACATAGGGGACACAGAGGTGGTAACGCCAACTTCAGGGACCAACAAAGACCGGCCAGAACACCACCTGTGTTTTCCTCTTTCTTCAACCACCAATGGCAACTCGCGGCTCTGTTTGCATTGTGACCTGGAGGTTAGAAGCTATTGTTATGGGCACGTGCCTCACTGACCCTGTCGACTGCTTCAGCTACATGTAAAATTCAAGTCGAGGTAGCTCCAAGCACATTTTCCTGAAGTCTTCACTCATAGCGTTCTCGAAAAATCAGTGTTACGGATTATTTCAAGATACTGCATTACAATTGTCTATGCCCTGAAGTTTGTCTCGTGCAAAGAGGAGTCGCATCAACAGTACTCTGTACGTTTAAAAAAATGTTAGGTGAAACAGAGAATGAAGCCTATAGACGCG